TCCTCCTCCTCTCCCCCCCCCCATCTATTGACATCCCCTCAAAATCAATAAAAATGATCTTGGAGTCCATCCACCATTTGGCTGCATCATCTTAAAAGTGCCTTCTTTAGGATATAGCGGCCATACTCTACAATGGGACAGCCGAGCGCGTGTAATTTGCCATTGATTTCCCTCCCCTCCTCCCCCCTCCTGACTCCTTAGCCCCTAGTCACTGCACACAGCACAAAAAAACTAACTTCATCATACACCCTGTTAATGCACATTCACAATAACCCTCTTTTCTCCTGCCCTCTGGTAATTTCACTCTTTCTTTATCTTTTTCGCTTTCTCTTCTCTTTCTTCCTTTATCTCCTTGGTCCTCCCCTCGCTTCGTGCTCTGGCCCTATTCCTGAAATCTCTTCACAGGTCACTGTTCTTTCACTGCAGTAATGGACGACTTGTGCAAATGTTGTTTGCGCTCAACCTCGTTTTATTTTTTTTCCATCTCTCTACCACTTTTATTTTTCTGAAAGGAATATCCAACATATTTAGTGTCCTAAATCTACAGTTTCTGAAGACATATTTGAGCTTTAAGTAGTATTTAATATTGATGTTATTTAGTTATTTATTGTTTAGCATCAACTTTGATCAAGTTTCAACATGTTTTATCTCAATCTCAGAATCTTAATTTGTCACTTATATGAATAGCTTTTTTGGATACATTTATGTTTTCCATGATAGTTCTGTGTGAATATAATAATGATGACATACTTATTGATCTACATTCACCTACTGATTAATTTGTCATTGTGTGAGTACACTACCTAATTGCATCGATAGTATGTTTTTCAGAGTTATAATTTGTAGTTTATTTTGCAGTCATATAAAAATGGGAAAAATATGGAAACATTGAGCTACATTTCCTACTTTAAATTGACACGTTGCAAGTGACAATTCTACAGAATCCATTGTATATTTTTTACTAAAAAAATACATAAGAGTTATTGTTTTTTTGTCACACACTTGATTTTCTCTGTCACCAGATAGCCCCTGCAGTATTTTGTTTTCATGATGAAGAGTCTTAATTGAATCAAGTTTAAATTCTTGAAGCTGCTTCACAAACCTGAGTGATTCATCATCATTATCAGCCATCACTGCGAGACGATTTGACAATATATGTCTTGATTAATCGTTCTGTGTATGAAACATCACAAAGCGAGACAAATATACCCATCACAATATGCCAAAGCACAAACTGTGATTAAAACTGTCCCCAAAATAATTATAAATATAATTATAATAAGAAATTATGTAAACCGTGAAATCTCAATTTTGAGAAGCTGAACCATCAGACGTTGGGCATTTTGCTTGAAAGATAACTTAATTAATACAAGTATAATAGTACAAATTCTCTTATCTGTTTTTTTTTTCAGGTAACACATTTGAAGACCTCATCTGTGCTTTTGGAAACAAAGAGTGACATTTTTCACAACTTTCTGACATTTTAAAGACCAACACAATCAAAAAATTAACCTGAATGTGAAAAATAAAGACTAATTGACGGATTAATCAACAATGTTTGCTGCAGCCCTACATTAAACGGAGTAATCAACAAACTAAACAGAAATGGGTTCGTTTTACAGCATTTAGGATTTCTTATTTAAAAACAGATAGCAAAAGTTTCTGATCGTGTCGTTGAATTTACATTTTTGTCATTGCCGTATGCAAATGAACTCTCTGCTTACAGGGATGACATTTTTCTCCCAGTGTTGATGCCTAGACTTACAGGGATGACCTTTCTAAACGATTAATTAGATTCCTTTCCTTGGTGATAATGTCTGTAAAGAAACTGTAACACCTAGTAAAAAGTTTGACTTGCCTGAAGGCCTCTCTGAGTTGGCTGATGGCATCTTTGACCTCAACGTGGAACGTTTCAAAACAGCGGTGAAGACTATCTGATTGTAAAGCCTGGTGTACGACACACACACACACACACACACACACACACACACACACACACACACACACACACACACACACACACACACACACACACACACACACACACACACACACACTTCAGTCTTTGAGAGCAGTGTGTTGTTTGTTGAGTCTGACACTTTGCCGCTCTAAGCCTATTACTGTATTCTTTCTGTGCTGTTCACAACACACACACACACAAGCATACAGATGCACACACAGTGGTGCTATCACTAAGACCTTATTCAATAAGCCCATAGCATATCCTCCAGCCATATCGCACATCACTCTCCCTCCAAACACACCCTCCGTCACACACACGATATCTGAATCTTCTTCTTCCTGAGTTGTGTTGTCGTCGCTGTTTGTTGAGAGTATCATTTACAGCCAAGGTGTTTGAAGAAAGACACCTCTCCTGTGGCGTGTGTGTGTGTGTCTCTTTAGAGTGGGGCTTTACCGCTCCTGACACCGTTATCAGCTCTAGTCGAATGTATTTCTTATCGAGGTAGAGGTGGGGAGGAGAGGAGGGGGGACGACGACGACCGACAATACAAGCTTATCAAACGTCTTCAGCCACGATTCCGCCTGTCACTCAATACCTACGTGCACGCTCACATGCGCAAGCAAACACACAGACACCAGTCCCTTTTTGATTGATAGATGGCTTTCCCCAACAAACAGAAAGCTGGGATCAACATCCTTGTGGCCCAAAAACACACCCTCACGAAGTGGCAAAAACGTATGTATGCGTGTGTGTGTGTGTGTGTGTGTGTGTGTGTGTGTCTGCGAGAGAGAGAAAACATTCCAGAGTAACAAAGGTGGGATTAGGGATGCATTAGTTGGCCGTGAAGCGAAAGGCCTGTCAATAACAGCAGCCAGAATAAAGCCTGAAACCTCGATAAGAAGACAAAGGACGAGCCAGATAGCAGCAAGCAAAGAGAGGGTGAGGGTGAGGGAGGAGGGGGGAGAAGGATCAATAGAGGGAGAGAGGAGGGGTGAGGCAGGGAGAGATTGATGGATGGATGGATGGAGAGGCAGAGAGAGCGGATCAATATCAAGAGAGACAGGAGGAGAGAAAGTTTTCAAAAAGACAACTGAAAGGGTGAGGTTGGGGGTGAGGGAGAGCAGGATAATGGAGGACAAGATGCTGTGAGTCAGGATGTATGTAAGAGGCAGGGTTTGACTGAGATGGGTCGATAAAGATGGCAGTAATGTTGTTTTATATCCTGCTGTAGCCCAAAGTTTGGTATTTTTATCAAACTGAGAGAGGATATTTTTTCCAAAATGTTAAAAAAAAAAGATGAGTGACTGAACTAGAAGTTGTTAAAAAGTATAGGGGTCTGGTTTTGGGATTAGGAGGCCTCTGAATTTATCATCACATTCATGCTTTTTCAGGAACTTCTGATCCTGGATCAGAGATATGGCCCCCAAGAAGTACCTGCCATGGTTTATTTCACTGTTTAATAGAGATGATTAAGATTAAGATGTTTACGTAAAAGCTTTGTTCCTGCTGACTTCCTCCAAGGACAGCACGATGAAACGACCTTCACGTCTAATGCCAAAGGATGCATTCGTTTTCAATGGTGCTTCTACCTGAAGCACAGTCAGACTCAAAGCAAATGTCTGAAGGTTCTCATCAGAGGATCCTCAATCAAATCTTATTTTTGACTGTAAGATCCTAAATACACACTTAATGAAATCCTAACCCAAAAAAACCCAATACTCTCAGTGTCAGCCTCTGTGATTTAAGAGTTGACACACCATCCTTCCATCTTCTCCCGCTTATCCGTGGTCGGGTCGCAGGGTAGCAGTTCCAGCAGAGAGCCCCAAACTTTATTTTCCCTGGCCACATCAATCAGCTCTGACTGGGCCAGCGAAGAGATATAGTCCCTCCACCTGGTCCTAGGTCTACCCCTTGGTCTCTTCCCAGCTGGACGTGCCTGGAACACCTCCCTGGGGAGGCGCCCAGGTGGCATCCTTACAGCTTGGATGGTTCCCTGCTTCCTCCTCCTGAGGTGTCTGACAGTTTTCCAGAACAACTTTGGTGCAACCCGAAAGTGCTTTTCCATGTCTTCTCCGAACTTCTCCCACACCCGCTCCTTTGCCTCGCCCCCTGGGATAACAAATCCCTGAAGGCCTCCTTCTTCAGTCGGACGGCTTCCCTGACCACCGGTGTCCACCAGGAGGTTCGAGGGTTACCGCCCCTTGAGGCACCTAGGACCTTGAGACCACAGCTCCCCGCCGCGGCTTCGGCAATAGAGGCTTTGAACACCGACCACTCTGGTTCAATGTCCCCAACCTCCACAGGAATGCCCAAAAAGCTCCGTCGGAGGTGTGAGTTGAAGGCCTCCTGAACTTGGGCCTCCTCCAGACGTTCCCAGTTCACCCGAACTACACGTTTGGGCTTACCAGGTCTCCCCCACCACTCGACCCAACTCACCACCAGATGGTGATCAGTTGACAACTCCGCCCCTCTCTTTACCCGAGTGTCCAAAACATACGGCCTCAGGTCCGATGATACGATAACAAAATCGATCATGGACCTTCTGCCTAGGGTGCTCTGGTACCACGTACACTTATG